TTGCTATCTGGAAAGAAAATAAAATATCTTATTTTTTGTGAAAAGGATTTTTCGGAAAAATTTACAGTTTTCACTTACTCATATTTTCGACGATTTCGGTTAAGGATTTGGATTTCACTGATATACTTGAAAAGCGAAACTATTTTTCCGGTAACTATGAAAAAGCTGAGCATTTTATCTCTGAGTTACTTCTTTTATTACTTGCTTTGCGTTGTTATGAATTGTTGTTGGCTATTGGACGTTGGACCCGTTCTTTGTTCCAGCTCGTCACTACTTTCAACCTAAAGTTAGGTTTGTTACTTTTTTAGTACATGGGGTCAGTTGTTCTCATACTACACTTCTGCACCTTGCGTGCAGATGTTGGCTGCTGATGTTGCTATGTTCGATGAGAGCTGGATTTGAAGATATACATGTGTTCTGGTTGTAGCTGCCTCTTGTTCATGGTAGTCTTAGATTTATAAAACTCTATTTATATACTTTTCAAACCGATGATATATTTACTTCATACTAGCTTTGTAAACTCTATTCTTAGAAGCTCATGATTTGTACTACCAGTCCTTGGGGAATGCATCAGATTTTCAGATATTTCTTTACTTAATTGCTTATTAAATTATTATTGGAACTAGTTAGTTATTAAATTGGCTTACCTAGTGGGTTGGGTTAGGTGCCATCACGACTAGTTGAATTTTGGATCGTGAAACTAGCTAGTTTCCAGACTGGTAATTGAAATCGTCTGCAAAGTCATTGAAAAATAGTCACTATTTTGCTGCAACGTTGAAAGTTCCAACATAATATGCTAGATTATAGAGCTCCTGTGTATAGACTTCCAGTATATTATGTTGGAACTCCAGCACACGAAAAGTTCCAGCATAATATGCTAGATTATGGAGCTCATGCATATAAACTTCAAACATATTATATTGAAACTCCAGCACATTACAAAATTCCAACACATTATGCTGGAATGTCATATGTAAACAATTCGAACTCCAGCATATTATGCTGGAATTTTTTCGGATTTTTAAGGATGTTTTTATTTTGGTTTTAATCTTTACATGTAAAAGTTGCTAAATTTTAATTACTTTTGAAACTGTAGCTATTTTTCAATTACCAGTTGTAAATTTGACTATTTCTTGATCCCCCCCCCCCCCCCCAATATATTCGAATTTTATCGCAATCCACCAACGAATTATTTTTCTTGAACTAAGAAAAGAAGCATATTGCGATGCAAATATAAAATGAATAAATTAAAATTTTTATAAATAGAATTGTATTTATGGTGAATGTCTATATTTAGAGAGATTCTAGGGTTAATTGCTGGGTGGCTAAGTCACCCTCTCCCTATAAATAGAGGGTTCTATTCTATTGTAATTCACCCCATATCAATAAGAATTCCCTCTCTCTACTTTGCTCTGCAATACTCTTCTTCTTTTTCTTTTATTGTTTTATAACACGTTATCAGCACGAGACTCTAACCAATTGAGTAGAAGCTTTGGGATTGAGCATAATGATTGTCAATTATTCCATGAACTTCCTTCATGATTAAATTCTGGATTTAAGGTAAGTATTTTACTTTATTTTTCTCTTTTAAATTCTTGAAATTCTATAATTTGATTTTATATACAAGCAAAGACAACAAAGTTTGATTATAACTCTAATGGAGTTTGTAAGAAATTATAACCACCTGAAGTGGTAAAAATTTCTATGTCTTGCCATGATCAAATTCATGTATGATTATGGGCACAAAAAGTGGAAACTCGTCCCATTGAATTTGCTCCATTCTCATTCCCTTAAGAGAATGTGATAGCAGTATGTGATAAGTCTGAAAGAAGACAAAATTATCACTATAAATGTATCAATGGATGTGGACGAGGCAATAAACGAAATTATAATCGTCATCATTGTGATAAGGAGAATAATAAGGATTCTCAAAATAATCCCCCACTTTGTGAAAATATTTGTCATCGATTTGACATGAGATTTTATAAAGCACATGTAGATGATTATGGTCCATTCATGATGTGAATGTGACAACATCTGATTTATAAATACATATTCATTTTTGGAAGAATATGAACGTGCTAGTGGTAGTGAATATACCACACTCACTTCTAAAAGGAGGTTTGAGATGATATAAGAAAACAATGTCATTATTATGTCATTATTATGGCATGAATGGTCATTGGTCACGTACATATTGTACGCCCAAATATTTGGGTAATGTGATTATTAAAGAATAACACTAATGCAAGAAATAGATCTTGCATATAATTTTGACCATGACTATAATGGTATAACTTTCTCTTTAAAAGAGATATTCACCATATGGATGTTGATGAATATGTGGTAGTACAAAAATAATTGAGAGCTCTAGAAGAGCCAATTATACTATTTTGGAGAAAATTGATTACGAATAAGGTATTGTGTTGTAGTAAGTCTCAAAGAAACTTATTCAGTTTCCAAAGTATACACGAAAGCGATTGATTATATTGAGACTATAAATAAAGGAAAGATTTAATATCTTCTATTACTACAACTTGTAGCGGGGTAATATGTATGTGAAAAGCTACCCGCTTTGTTCTCCACTTTGTACTACACAAATAAAACCATACCTTAATAAAGTGGATGTTTATTGATATAAAAACTCATATCATAATAAACTTGGAGTTTATTCATAATTGCACACATCATGGTGTAAGCCTGAAGTTTATCAATATTGATAATTTATCCAGCTGACATAATTGGTTTAGCCATGTTAATTCAAGTATGATGTGCAAAAATAAAAGAGAATTCACATGGGTAAATATTAAAGAACTAGAAAGTTCTTTACGAATTCTCTTACATTACTTGTTCTCATTAATTAATAGACCAACTAAAATTGGGATTGAATTCCATGAATGCTGGAAATATCAAAGGTGAATATGGGCCCATTCACCTGCCATGTATACCACATAAGATGCATCTATGAGATGGTTACATGTGCGATTATTATTAACCCGCAACATGGTATTTGCGAGGTAACTTGCTCAATAATTTAATTTAGAGCATATTCCAGATGTTCTATTCAAGAAGTTCATCTTGATAAGTTGGTCTACATCGCAGCTAATTTAGCAAAATGATTTATTGAGTGCCTCCACTTAATAGCTAAACATTTGCTTATGAGAACAAAGTTTTGTATATCAGTTTGATATACGTTATATACGAAAGTATATTAATTTCTCCCCTCACAAGTGGTTCATGGTCAGGCACCAAATAATTCCATCTTATTATTATTGATGTGCGGTGTATATTTTGATTAACACCATAAAGTACAAAGATGAGTTCTCAATGTTGAGGAAACAAGTTAGTTTTTTTCTAACATGAGGGGGAGACAAGAGACAACAGTTGAGAAAAAGTTACATGGAATGAATTATCATTTATACATCTAGATCCTCGAATAAAATAATATGAACTTGAAGTTCATAAAAGGATAATTCATGTGCAATTTATTGCAACGCATGCCAGACGCATTTGCTGACTCAAAGAAAGTAACTATATTCTCATTGCAAATGCTCCTATTAATATAAGTCCTAGAAGGACAAAGTCTATGGTAAGCTTAAAGCGTATAGACAATCGGTTTCAAATAAACTTCTTGATAAAGAAGATGAGCAAATGATCAAAATGATCATAATAAAGGAGGCAAGTGATCTAGAAGATCACATGACATAACACTTCATAAAATCTCATGAGAGATTCAGGTACCTGAATATATAAATGAAGAGATCTCTATGTTATGTATTTATGAAAAATAAGTAGGTTGGAACCGATATAAAATAGTTGTCGACGACGTCTATCATAGCGCTAAGATAGATGAGGATCTTAAGTCTATCGAATATAGACACAAAAATATTGGCCAAATGGAAGAGCCACAATTCAAGTATAATTTGAATTCATATGAAAGACATGTAGATTTGAACATGTAGTTCAAATACTTGAAAGTATAAAGTCAATGGTATGTGCAATCAGTTTTCGATATCTTATATGTCTAGCATGACATGAAAACTTGATATGCATCTAAAGTCTATTATATGGCTTATATAACTTAACAATCCCTGAAGGATTTAAATTGCTTAAAGCATATAGAATTCATGGTCATGAAGTACTACATCCTCAATGCAATTTGTGCACAAATGTATCTTGCTATAACTATATGCATGATAATATGATAGCAAGAGTTTTCACCTCTATGTGAAGATATTGAACTGACGATTCCAACAAGATCATATGAAGACAATCTATCTCTATCAAGAATGATGATTTCAAGGTGTAATATATTCATTCAAGTTAATATGGCTGATTTGTTCATCAAATCTCTACCAAAGATCTTTTGAAGATGGTGCACAAGATTGGAATGCAAATGCTCAAGGATGTGCATTGATGCTCTCATCAGGGGGAGTTAATACGCATTGTACTCTTTTTTCCTTACAAGGTTTTGTCCCACTGGGTTTTCCTTGCAAGGTTTTTAACGAGGCAACCAAAAGGCGTATTATTAGATATGTGTACTCTTTTTCCTTTTCTAGATTTTTTTCCCATTGGGTTTTCTTTTAGTTAAGGTTTTAACGAGGCACATTATCTGTTGAATAGACATTCAGGGGGAGTGTTATAAATAGAATTGTATTTATGGTGAATGTCTATATTTAGAGAGATTCTAAGGTTAATTGCTGGGTGGCTAAGTCACTCTCTCCCTATAAATAGAGGGTTCTATTCTATTGTAATTCACCTCATATCAATAAGAATTCCCTCTCTCTACTTTGCTCTGCAATACTCTTCTTCTTCTTTTATTGTTTTATAACACATATCTTATTGTTTAAATTCTGAAATTTGAAAAATTCACATAATCTAGCACTAATTACGTGGAAATGCAATTTCCTTAGCATTGACTTTCGTTAGAGACTAAAATCGCCATATTGATTGGTCTAAACTCAAAAGGGCCCCAAAACGCAGCTTTCACATATGAAGCGATAAAATGATTATGGCCGAACATGTCCTTTTTCTCATCCAAAAAATATTGCTTCTTTATTCCAATCTTCCAGACTCGCGCCATCGCTGCAAACGTATTCACTGGTAATCACTATTTTCTTCTCTAAAACCTTACTATCTGAACTTCACTTCCCTGAATTCCCTTTTGTTTCCTTTTCTTATCGATTCAATTTGGCTCTGTTTGTTAATTTTCAATCTGACTCTGCTACCTCTTCCTGATTTTGTTGATCTAATTCAGTTTTTCTCCAACAAAATGTCGTACTAACCATTTTTTTTAACTCTTCTTTCTGGGTGATTTTATCTCATTGTTGGAATACTTATAGCTAATTAAGGGTCCATTAGTATCTAATTGTTTGTATATTTGATCGTGGACATTCGTTGTTCTGTCTTTATCTCTACTTAAACTTTAGAATTTTCCAAGTGGAATTTGCTTTTGTTGCCTTTACTAGACGTTTTAGCATAAATAATAACACTGGTACTGACATAATTGGTATTATATTGCAAAGGAATCTAAGGTAATTCCAGTTTTAAGAGGCTTATAGGATGGAGTTTCAGGATTGTGATACTTGGGTTAATAATTTCCATTTTTCTAAATTTTGGAAGCATATTTCACAAAGCCAAGGGACTAGTTTTTGGTTCATAAATTGCTTAGCTTATATCCATGGTGAACATGCTAAAGAAAGATAAAGAGTCATAGGCGTAATAAGTGTTTGTCAGTAGAACCTATGGTGTTATACTCCAATCCATCAGACCTCAAGTTTTGTTATAGGCTTACTTTTCAGTTTTCACCATACATGTTTTCTACGTTTGCTAATGTGACATATTCAATATGCCCGCGGAGAGAATCATATAGCATCCTTTAATTCTGTTTCTAAGATAGTTATTATTAACTGCATTGTTCTCTTGATTTTCTGTTTGAGATGTTGCTAGATGGATTTCTTCCTAAACTCACAAACATGCTTCTGCTTGATTGTTCTTTTTCCCCCAAAAATCAGTCAGCATCAACTTGATATCTTTGCTCGATCTGTTTCCGTATCTTCTAGATCACAAATTTATGAAATATATGTGGCAGCCTCTATTATAAACATCAATAGTTCTTTTTTCTTTTTCAATTCCTAGCAGTTTGGCCTTTTCATTTCAGTGGGCAACAGCCGTGTAATGTCATCAAATGAGAATTTGATCTGAAAATACACAAGGAATTGGAGGTTAGAGTTTGCTTGTCAAAAGTGTCTAAAAGCTATTCATCCGGAGGTGATACAGGTTTCACTCAATCAGTTCTTAAAACAGACTCATGCAAAGACTAGGCATTCTTGATTGGCAGCATAACTTGAGTTTTAGAAGCATAAATCTACTAGATGGTGAACCAGCCCACACATTGCTTAATTCTCTTTCCTGTAGAAGTAGCAGTGGATCATCTCATTCAAAGGCAAGGCTTTGTTCAAAACATAGACATGCAGATTTGAATGTCACACTTCAAAGTCTAGTGCGTCAATGCTCAGAAATTCAGAGTGCAGTTCATGACAACATTGAAGAACTACTTGATGAAGAGGACGATTTATGTCCTGTTGAATGTGTAAGAGAATTTAAGACTGATGAGGAATTCTCCATAATATTAGAAAAAGCGAAAAAAGCTGGTTCTTTGGTTGTGGTAGACTTCTATCGCACCGCCTGTGGCAGCTGCAAGTATATAGAGCAGGGTTTTGCAAAATTGTGCAGGGGAGCTGGTGATGAACAAGCACCGGTTATATTCTTAAAACACAATGTAAGTACTATATTTGACATAATTTAGAAAAGGAAAAGCCTTAGTCACTTCACCTCATGTCTTTCACCTAAAGTTCAAATATCAGAAGGAGCATTTCTGTTACGACCAATTGGTTAACAGCCGACTGCTCTACCACTGAGCTACTGAGGAACAACAGGAGATTCGATCTCATAGAGTTCAATTCCCGTTCTTTTGGTCTAGACTTGTTAGGAGCAAAAGTATTTTCCTTTCACTTTGTCCTACTTGATGTAGCAGAAGATAGTGTGGATTAATTATTCCCATCTCTGCAGGTGATCGATGAGTATGATGAACAATCTGAGGTTGCTGAACGTCTGCGAATCAAGGTGAAACTTTTTGATAGCTGTAATCAATTTAGAAGTCTTTGATACAACTATAGTTGTTGCTTCTCCAATCTGATTGATAATATTATTTCTTTTGTTCAGAATTGGGAAGGCCTAGTTTGTGTTACAGAAATTTAACATCTCGGTTTAATTAACTTAATGCAGACAGTACCTCTTTTTCACTTTTATAAGAATGGAGTCCTATTGGAAGCTTTTCCCACCAGAGACAAAGAAAGGATACTTGCAGCTATTCTTAAATACTCTGCTCCAGCTTCCGCGGATACTTGAACTGGTCTGGTTTGCCCTTGCTTCTGTATAATCGTTCTTGGTGCTCAGCACATATTGAAACAATTTGTGTTTGCCTTAAATGTACATCTGTATTCTGTAACATAATACCTTTGAAGTTGTTGTTCTACTCATAATAAGAAATTATACTGAATACTCTTGTATATTGATAGTTCTTTATTTATATCAAGTAGGTTTAGAAGAGGGACTAGCTTCGAATTCAAAGATTTAGAAGTTTGAGTCTTAATCATTCAATAAACATGAATGCTTATTCTGACGATAGCATTAAGACTTTCCAGGTAGTGTTACTCCTAAGAGTAAGTGAAACTTGATTGAGATATTACCAATGGAAGTTATGAACTGAAAGCCTGCAACCGTTTTCTAGGATCTAGATGGAGTTTAAATAACAAAATGAAAGAGAAAAAAGCAGAAGCTGAAGAAGAAAGAAAAGAATTGGAACTTGACCATTAGGTAATTTGGAAATGGCTGGCAGGTTTTGGTGCTTTTGTCGGTTGATATCTTTCCAATTTCTTTCAAATGCATTGTGATTTCCCAAATTCAGAATTAAGTAATAGCAGTACACCTAGTTGGACTATGCAGGCGGAAACGGCCAGGTTCTGGAGTAGTTAACTGTGAGGGAGTTTAGTATGATAGATGAAAAGGCAACCTAGCAACATGAATCCAAGCAGCTGCTGATAAGCAGTAGATCTAACTTCATCCTTATAGAACCTCAAATTCAATTTTTTTACCACTAGTTTTCTCTTCTCTTTTAAGCGGGGAATTGTGACGTGTCAGAGGTAAGGACTGCAAATTCACAGGTAATATGTTGTATAAAGGCTAGACCTAGTTAAAGTAGTTCATAGGATCTCCTTTGATATGTCAATGAAATTGGGATCTAAGTGTCTTCAAGGTAAGTGTTCTTCTTTTACTGATTGGCTTCAGCTCTTAGACACTAATCCAAGCCAGGAATATACAAAGATGACAATTCACATGAAATCATGGCACTAAATATCAGCAATTGTTCTCTCTTGTAAGCTCATCTTGTAAATGGACCATGGATCCTGGATCTTGGGGTGTATTTCAGCCAATTTGCACACTAAAATGAGCCCGTGCATTGTTAAGTTCTTGCGAAAATGCTACTCCTTCCGTCCCAAATTGGTTTGTGGTGTATGATTGAACACAGGTTTAGAAAAGAAAAGAGGAGTTTTGACATTACTATGACTATACATAAAATATCAAAGTATTCTTGTACTGAACTTGCTTTTATTAATCTAGCAGGACCTACACTTGTACCATTTCTTATAAGAACATGTAAGTAACAGCAAAATGTAAACATAGAAATGTGCTAATCCTTTTAGAACAGACAAAACAATGAAAGAGTTCAAACTAATTAGTGCAGATTGAACATGATCTACTCTTTGGTTTCGAATGACATATCTTAAGTATCCAATATTTCTGAAGACATTAATCTCTGGATCATTTCATTTTTTTCTCAGTTATGGATCAGTCTAAAGGGGAGCCTTGGAACAACGATAAAGTTGTCTCCGTGTGATTTATAGGTCACGGGTTCGAGCCGTGTAATAAGCTACTGGTGCTTGCATCAGGGTAGGCTGCCTAATCACACCCCCTAGGGGTGCAGCCCTTTCCCAGATCCTGCATAAAAACGAGATGCTTCATGCACCAAGCTGCCTTCCATTTCAACTATGAATCAGTCTGTGTTTGAGAGGGAAGAGGTTTTATGACAGACAATGATCTTGATTGATGATAAGAGTCATGTCCTTTAATATGTTTCCTAAATTCAGGACCATTGTCTCTCCTAATACACAGAGGAATAGAGACAGTGAACCATAAGGGTAAAATTCTTTAAATGCCACAAACTCTATTAGCCACATTTTAGCAGTGTACAAGGTAGGGGTGCTCATAAAAACCCGAAAAACCGAACCAAACCGAAAACCAAACCGAACCGACCAAAAAAACCGATACTTTTTGGTTTGGTTTGGTTTTGGTTTTGAATTTTAAAAATCGAACAAATTCGGTTTGGTTTTGGTTTTAATCAGAAAAAAACCGAAAAAAATCCGAACCAAACCGACTATAGGAGTAGCTATTTCAATTTATTATTACATCTATATATATGTATATTTTTATACAAAGTTTCAAAAATTTAATGGTAAATGTTAATGGTTTGCACTTTTAGTATAGTTCTTTACCTTAACATTCTAGTTTGATTGGTAATTTTCTTTTGTTAAGTGTACGAATCCATTTCGTGTTAAAAATAATATATTTTTAATTGAGTCCTTAAATTATTCTATCACTATTTGATTCAATTATCATCAATATATCTTTGTAAATAATAGATTTCTCAAAGGGCAATTGATTTGATAGTGTTACGTTGAAAATATGGTCGCCGGAATATGTGTTTGGTAGTGTATGTCTTATATTTAAGAAAAAACCGACAAATAACCAAAAAAATCGAAAAACCGACAAAACCCGACATAAACCGAATCGAGAAAAACCGACTTAATTGGTTTGGTTTGGTTCTAATATTTGAAAAACCGACTTACTTGGTTTGGTTTCTTTTAAGGGAAAAACCAATCTAAACCGAACCATGAACACCCCTAGTACAAGGTCAATCAAAAGTTGTCCCCCCATTTTTTGGTATTGTGCTCTCCAGCTTAGAGATCACCCACCACTTTAAAACTCACGCAATATAACCTTCAACACTTGGCTCTGCAATAGCCTCCCTGATAAGGACCTTACAAACAGGACTTGTACTGAGCAGACACATGGCAAAAGCAAAAGATATTAAAACAAGATAGTAAAAATACCATTTCCCATCCCAACACATGGGCAAAGTCTATTTACTTTTTATGTCAACAAAAAGCTCCAGCCGTCTATTACTTAATGGTCACTTAATTATCTCAAATTATCTATTAAACTTATTTTTCTTTCATTTGTAACACGAAAGTCATTTAACTATGCCTATAGCACTCATAAGATCACTCAACTAGATTTCTCAAACTTTTAATTATCAAATACCTATTTTACCCTCTAAATTATCAACTTTTATCTTCTTTTTTTTAAATATTATCATTTTTTCTCTTTTTAATCTACATTGTGGACTTACCCATAGAACAAATATATTTATTTATTTATTTATTTATAAAATAAAAATAATAAATTATTTTTCAGCTTATATAATGTCGGAATAATAATATAATTGAGTATAATTTTCAATAATATATAATGTATATTATAAAAAAACCTTTATTTAAATAATTAGTTTTTTATTACATGCATGGAATATATATTAATTTTACAATCTTTATTTTCTTTCATTCTCAATTGTGTAAATAAATTTTTGAATTTTTGATTTTTTGTTGTTAATATTAAAATTTTTATTACAAACAAATTATTCAATTTAATTTTTTTTACTATGCTCAATATTTTATTATTCCAGCATTATATATGCTTAAATACTTTTATTTTTTAATTTAAAAATAAAATAAATTTATTCTTGTGGTGACCCAAAATGTCATCTTATATTTTGGAACTTAATTCTGCGCTTGTAAGCCTTAAAAACCATGCTTAGGCCTTCCTTGATTTGCGTGCGCAGTCCGAACGTCTTTCCGGAAAGCTTTTGTGTTTAAACTGTTAAAAATGAGAAAATTTACCTAAAACTTCATTTGAGTTGACTTCGGTCAACATTTTTTATGAATGGATCCGGATTCGTATTTCGACGGTCCCGGTGGGTCCGTATCGTGATTTGGGACTTGGGCGTATTCTTGGAATCGAAATCGGAAGTCCCTAGCCCGAGATATCGGGCTTTGTCGAAATTTGAAAGTTAAAGACTTAATGAATTTGAAAGGTTTGACCCATAGTTGACCTTTTGGATATCAGGTCCGTATTTTGGTTCCGGAACTCGGTATAGGGTTCCAACATCGCATTTATGACTTGTCTGTGAAATTTGATGAAAAACTAAATTGGTTTGACGTGATTTCGGACGTTTGGTTGAGAAATTAGGAGTTTTAAGCTTTCTTGAAAATTTCATATGATTTGGTGCTAAATTCGTAGTTCTAGATGTTATTTTGGCGATTTGATCGCGCGAGCAAGTTCGTATGGTATTTTTAGACTTGTGTGCACTCTTGGTTTGGAGCCCCGAGGGCTCGGGTGAGTTTCGGATAGGCTACGAAGTGAAAATAAGACTTAGAACATTGCTGGTGTTTCAGTTGTTGGTGTAAGCCTCTGATCTCGCATTTGCGAGATCAGGTATCACATTTGCGACCTTTGCAGGTTCCCCATTTGCGAGCTATTTCTTGCATTTGCGAGGAGTAGCTAGGCCATACAGTCTATGCAATTGCGAAGCATTCTTCGCATTTGCGAAGTAAAGCTGGGAATGGCAGTGATCGCAAATGCGATCCTAGAGTCACAATTGCGTTTGCGAAGGCAGCAGGAGTGTGAAGGACTTCGCATTTGCAATGGTCCCTTCGCATTGGCGGGCTTTGCATTTACGAAGCCCAGGTCGCATTTGCGACATCTGCTGCTGATAAAAGTGACTTAGACGGGATTTTTCTGCCATTCTTCAAATTTTCAAAACCTAAAACATAAGAGGCGATTTTCCAAAGACCATTTCTTCCCCAAAACATTGGTAAGTGATTCTAAACTAGTTTCTTTCAATCTTTCACTTCATTTTACAAGATTTCAGCTTAAAATCTAAAGTTTTCATGGTGGAATTGGGGATTTTTGGGTAGAAACTAGAGATTTTAAAATTTGGGGATTTAGACCTCAAATTGAGGTCGGATTCCAAAACCAATTATATATCCGGGCTCGGGGGTGAATGGGTAATCGGATTTTGGTCCGAATTTCGAGTTTGGACCAAGCGGGTCCGGGTGTTGACTTTTTCAATAATGACCTAAATCGAATTTTTGTTATCGTGGGTGATTCCTAAGGCTCATTTTGAATTGTTTGGTTGGTAATTTGCTAGATACTGTTGGTTCGGAGGCTAGTTTGAAAGGCAAAGCTGTAGTTGAGCTTTGAGTGGTCCTTGGAGCGAGGTAAGTGTTGTGTCTAACCTTGACTTGAGGGAATTAGGAACCCTCGGACTAAGTGCTATGTGATTCTCATGTGAGCGGCGTATATGCGAGGTGACGAGTGCTTATACGCCGCCGA